CCACTCGTACCGCCTCCTCGTCCTCCCCTGACACTTTAAACGCAGATGACTATTAGGACCCGTAAACTATCTGTAAATCAAGTTGGAAACAACGGGAAGCGAAAGTTTATGAAAACTAGAAACTGCGCGGCGAATAGAGCCAACACACACTGCTATGTGTTTGGGTTTGACAATATAACAGTTCTGCGTGGTGGGGAGCCGAGAGTGACAAGGTTACTAAACACTAAGTGGAAACGGAAATGCGGTGACAAAAAAGTCGGCGTTACCAAATACAACGTAACACCCGCAGCTGTTACAATAGTCTGCCTTTATATTTTCGCACGTTACACTCAGGCGATTCACGTACCTGCTGCGCGTTTGGGCGCTTCTTGTTTCCTCCGTGGCATTTTGTATCAAAGTCTTCTTTGTTTTTATTTCATAAAGCCCCTCGATGTATCCGGGAAGATCCACCTCTACTTTAGCCACAGATTCACGCCTTCACGTAGTAGACTGCACACCCTCGAGGAGTACGCTGGAGAGAAGGAAAAGTCAAAATCATCGCCAGAGAAGAGCAGCCTGCGGCGAAAAGTCAGCGGAAAAATAAATGAATGAATGTTGGGAAAATAAATAATTTCTGGTGTGTGCGGCGGCGGCGTGTAAAGATGTCAGCGGTGGCAGCCAGCGTCCACCTCGGATGCCTCGGTTTTGGCAACAGGCAAAGTTGAGGGATAAGAGAGACGATCGCGTCACTCACAGCAGGAGAATGGGCAAACCCACCACCGCTCCGTTAACTCTTTACTCCTCAGTGAGAGAGGGAGGGAGGGAGGGAGACATAGAGAAAGGGAGGGGGGGCAGTGTGTGTCTTCCCACCTCTGTCTCTCATGTGAATCACAACTCGCAAGCGATCAGTTGATGATTATACACAGTCGGACGATTATCTGGGGCCACAAAACCACAGACAGGCTGAATAACAGTCCAGTCATGTCAGTAAATATGTGTCAATCGACCTCTCCGTCAGCTTCGTCATTGTGTTTGAATTTGTCATGGAAAAACTAATGAAATGGAAATGAATAAGAAAACACTTCAATAAAATACAATTCCCTGACTGTCTTTTGTCAGAAAACAAATTCCATCCCATTGTTCCTAAACATGTATTTAAAGAGTACGTTTTAATAGCTCTTTATAATACTTACAGTGTCATTCACTGTACTGCTTTTCACTTCATTTTCACATAGTTTTTGTACAAGCAGTACAGTTTATTTATTTGGAAAAAGAGCAAAAAAAAAAAGAAAGAAAAGTATGTGTTTGTTAAAACAGTTAGAGATGACACAGCAGACAGACCAGCTGTAGTAGCTTATGATTTGGTCGAATAATCAGAAGTACAACTGTTTTGCTGCAGATATGTTACCAAATAAGGGAAAGGAAGGAAAAGACGTATAACCCATAGAGCACTCTCCCCATGATGGGCCTTTTATGCTTCATTGCACCCTAGATCTGGGGGGGTTTACAAGAATGGAAGCAACTGATAAAAAAAGAGTGTGTCATCTAAGCTGATGACGAAATACTCTCAAAGTGGTTAAAGAACTTTTTTAGAAATCTGATACTGACTGCTGAGGTGTCTCTTTTGTTAACTGTAAACAATAAATATCTATAATTTGTTATGTTATGGTTGATCAACAAAAATGTGGGTTTTATAAAAACAACTGTCACGAAACGAGTTATTTTATAGATGTTTGTTTCAGGCTTCATTTATCAAACAAAATGTTAATGAACATTTTTATTTAATTTTCTATACAAGCACTTTGTTCACTTTCATATCTATAATGTTGTGTGGCCACAGCATTTATGCCCATTCTTCAGTATATCAAAGTAACTTTGTAAGTATATATATGGATCATCGTTATTTCTATTGTTTTACCATAAAGTCAATGCATTTACACTAATGCTCAGTCAACCTGCTTTAATAAGTCCATAAGTCGGTCTATCATTGTTCAAAATCAACATCATTTTATTTCATTATTAAATTTTTTTCCCCCTGCAAATCCTCACATTAGCTGCAACAAAATAATAGCATTTCTTTTTCTTCAAAAAAACCTTGCACTTCCAAATGGCTTCTTAAAACACTTTTTAATCTCCACATTGCAATAACTGGAAATTTAATATGATTTTAAATATATAAAAATAAATCATTCTCAATCCCAAAAATCTGTTTTTGTTTTTTAAATGTAGTAATTAAATACCCACTAGAACAGTTTGACTTGGTTTTTTTAGTTGACTAATGAGTGACTGTTAAAGGGAGATGTATGTTTTAGTTTGAGTACATAGAAGTACAAGTATTTTTTTCTACAAAACTACAGTATATCAGAAGTGTAACTGGACAGGAAACAATTAATAAAGGCCTACAGCTGTGTATACAGCCAAATGAGTCTGATTATGTTACATACGAATTAAATGTAAACAACAATCAGGTTGTAAAATATACAGTTGCAAATGAAAAATGTACAGTTAATGCAGTGACTTAAATACAACGAGTTAAACATTCTTTCATCTAAAGGGAAAACACTCTGAAATCTTCTACAGTTTCCCACAGTGGATCTTGCAAGGTCGCCATGTGTGTGTTGTTTTTTTTATTTTTTTAAACACGGATTCCATGTTTATGTCAGGATTACTACCATAATCTCACTATTCCCCCACATTCTCAGAAGTTAAAATCTTGTTTTACCCTGTGTGTCCTGCAGCTCACAGGCGGACTGGAAAACAAATAAACGTGGCCAAAATTACAGCCTCCTTCTTGTACTGTGCAGAGGGTTAGAGACGACAGCTTTTAGAATACCTGAGGTTTTTATTCCTGTAATTTTTGCATTTTAAGAGAAAAACGTGTGTGTAGTCAGAATTCTCCATCAAATTCTTCAATGATTTCTTTTGTTTTTAACAGCCATAAAATGAAACCTCATTTGGTGCATTCGCCTTGTTAATTTAATGTGAGCAGTTCAATGTTGGCTTTCATCGGAGTAAAAGCACTCACTTTTCTTAAATATCCACATTAGGGAGAGATCAAAGCCAGTTCAAGGAAGCAGTGTTAAGTCTTATTGCGAAGGTAATGAGCTTTTTTCACCACTTGTCTCTCTTTCTTCTTGATCCGGCAGTATCTCTGCAGAGTGGGATGGTCCCATGTCTCCCCCCCGGCCCTCTGATCTCTGATGTGTGCTGACCCCTGCCAGTGGAAAAGACACGCACTAACACCAAAACATACTGCGTGGGGCTGCGCCACACACATTTGAGCAAACAAAAATTCATCAAAGGGCACATTTAAGGATCTCCTTGCCCTGTCATCACACACAAACACACACACAGGGGAAGAGAGAGGGAGAGAGGGAGGGAGAGAGCTAGCATTCTCACCAGTTAACACGGATTAGAGACTCCTCTGATCATGACTAGCTCCTGCTGCCTCGTCTCTAAGAGCACTGAGGCTGCTGGGTCCCTGTCACTTTAACAACATAAAATTACAACCCAAATGGGATGTCAGGGGTTAGCAGTGTCTCTTAGAGAACCATGTGAATATATTTCTCCTGCGGACCTGCCCCCAAAGTGACCTCCCCCAGGAACAAGAAGTAACCCGGTGATTGGCATTTTTACAGCCAAATTAAACCTTCTCGCAGCCTGCTGAAGGCAGGAGGAGAAAGCTGGGGCTCCAAAATTAGCGAGCCATCATCATGACAGAAAGTAGTGGGGACATGGTGTCATCCAGCGACTGTATCGATTAACCCATAAATAGTATATGGCCTCTACAGTGTGGCTCTCCCCGGCTTACGCTGTAAATGGAAGTTATCTCAGCCGTGTCTCCGTCTTGCTTAGCGTCGTGCTCTGTAACAAAAAACCCTGGTGCCCAGAGGATGGAGGTGGCTGGGTGTTAAGCACATCACCAAAGTGTGCACTGTGTGCCGACAACAAGGGAGATTTGCTAAGTTGTATCCAATGTTTTTGCACTTAAGAATCATTACACTGATGAAAGGATCTGAGGTTTCTATCAGAGTGTAGGAAAAGGCACGTCTACTGCCAAATGAGTCTTTAAAGCTTTTTAGATGTACAGTTTGATGAGAAAAACAAAAAAACAAAAGTATACTCTGTACTGTACAAGGACAATACATTCAGAATACGCACACAAAACTGTACGGAAATGTAATTCTGTCATACCACTGTGTCCATGCTGTATAATTCCCATCTTCAAACTCATGACACCTGGATTATCATAAAAGAGAAATGTGTGTCCACCCTGCATTCACAATTTAACCAATCGTTTTACAACCATTTGGGAAACCGTTTTTTTTTTTTTTTCGTTTTTTTTTTTTATTTAAATCCTAAAGGAAAACAGGAGAGGCCTTTCAATTTCATAGCCTGCAGAACACTCAAATATTCATTGCACTCTACTTTTTTGCTTTCAACCCCTCTGCAGGAGGCAAAGCTCGTGGCATCTGTATATGCAGCTTCTATTCATGTTGCCTTTCAGCCTTTAAATGTCCACTGTGAGTCAGGACTCACTGTCAGTCCACTCCTGATGGCATCTACCTATACATGTGAACTTGTCCAGAGAGGCACAGCACTGCAGGGTCAGAGATTGACTGACAGTGTCCAATCTGGCACCCTGAAGCCAGGGATTGGGTCTGACTGGGCCAGTCTTCTGTTATCCAGCAGTCCGGCTGTTTCTATGAGTAAAAATCACGCTACATGGATTCCTAACCACAGGAGCTTGTTTGTCTGTGTCCGTGCTTTGTTGCCTTATCTGTGTATTCATGTGTGTATGTTCATGTGTGGGTGTGGTTGCGTAATGCATGACCATGCTGAGAAGAGTGATTGCTTTATTCCTGCCTTATGTGCTATGGGGGCCGGGGACGTGTCTTTGGGCAGCTGTATGGATGGCTTGAGGAGGTCTCCATCATTCATAAAGCGAACTCCTACATGCAGAATTGATCTTGCAAAGAAACAGGGTGGCAATAGCGGTTCATCAATCTTGTCCGATCACAAATCACTCGGATGTGACCCCTTGGGGGAGAGGTGACACCATTGTCAGTGCAGCAGTCCTCCCGGACAAAAGAAGGGGCTGGGCACAAACTCTTGCTCATATGGAGGCCCCCAAAGTGTAAGAAATGTGGACAGCATGCTTATGAGTGCCTATATAAATAATGGGGAAACAAAGACTGTATCAAGAAATTTGGATAAAAAGTCAGATTAGTGGAGGCCAAAAACCGAACAACGTCCAGCTCTTCTTCCATTCACTGTGAAAGATGCACAACTGCTACATTTACACTCATTTTTCACGGCTCTGATTAATATTAAAAATGCACGTTCGCTCCAGTCACCGAAGTTAAACAGGTTTTATAAAGAATGCATAATTAAAGATACCTTTACTCATTGTGTTTAATATATGCATCCCTACCTATTAATAACACAGGTCATTAATTTGTATAAATCACCTATGTTTGGCATAGAGTAATTTCCACTCCCGCAAGAGAACCGCTGCGATGAAGCTCTTGCCTTTGGCCTTGGTTTGCACATTACACACGTCTTCCATTAGAGCGCCCACTTTCCCTGTTCTTCCTCCTGACCCCTCCCCTTCCTCCTGCTGCACCTACTCATACCGTTTGTACTTTATCATTGATCTTCATTCTAAAATAATCTCTTATCATTTCTCATTGCGAGCCTGCAGAAAAAAATCGTTTCCAGATCTTAATTCATTAGCTTCACCCTGAAAATAGAAAAGCTCCGAGAAAGGTGGACATGTGACGAAGGCTGAAAGTAAGCTCCTTTAAAATATGTCTGCTGAGCTGGTGAACTTTTGACACAACGCTTTATTTCTCCAGTGACAAACTTCTCCCTATTAAAAACAATGCTACACATATCGCCTAAACTTCTGTCATCAAGGTGAACACATCAGTTTTCATTTCAATGTCATTTTTAAAAAAAATGAAGGTGGACCAACTGACTGTGTCAATCACTGAACACTTCGCAGTGCTTCAGCCCTTTTTTTGTCTTCATCCATTGTCCAGACAGAACGGCTTTGACATGTGTGATAGGAGGAAAGATTTTATTAATTAAATTTTGTGGTAAATTATTAGGCAAAAATGTGATAAGGTTCATTCTTTAGGGATGGTAGATGACTCTGTGCTGTTTTAATTAGCGCACTTCTGATTGTAGAGGCAGAACTCAGACGATCGATCAAGTCTCTCCTTCTTCTTTTCTTCCTGTGTCTCGTGGCCCAAAAGACCCTTTAAAATATTCAGGTACATTATGAATGGCTACCACCCCATCTATTTATATCTTCTTTATTGACAGTATTACATTTATGGAGTCTATGGATACATTCTTCATAATATTAACACATCTTACAGACACACGTTTGAGTTCAACTTGGTACCAGCGTAACATTTGGTTGAATTTTCATATTCCTGGATAAATTCAGGAACAGTTTAATAAGGTCTTGGTGCCGCAGTCTCAGCGGGCCAGTGATGATAGTTGTGTTACCTTGTTATGTTCATTCAAAGCCACGTGTGGCACATTGCTTCTCTGATGTCACGTCAGTCTGTTTAGTGCTGTCAGCTTGT